GACTCAGTGTGCGTGCGTGCGTGCGTGCGTGCGTGCGTGCGTGCGTGCGTGCGTGCGTGGCCGGGCGTGCGTGCGGGCGTGCGCGTGTGCGTGCGCGTGTGCGTGCGCGTGCGCGTGCGCGTGTGCGTGTGCGTGTGCGTGTGCGTGTGTGTGTGTATTGCAATATTGATGTAGTAACATGATGATAATAACGATGTTTATTATTGCAATATGTGTATATACATATATATATACGTATATATATGCATTTTTATACAAAATTTTCTTTTATGCTGAAGCCTATAAGGTCCCTTACGGAAAAGACCGACTGCCGAGGTATTACTGGCTACTACATAGAAATATCACACGAAACTACTGGAAATATTATTGGAAATCACATAGACGTATTACTGACAATTACACAGAAGTATTACTGCTGTGTGTGATTTTTTCGCACTACTGCCGAAATGTATTACTGCCTAAATATTATTGCCACTAATATTTAGGCAGTAATATTTGAATATGGATATGCGCTGTAATGTCGAGAAATAAATTATTGAAAAAAAAATTTATTTTTTTTGTATTTTATTATTACATGTTATTTTTAGAGTGTAATTTGTGAGTTATTCCGCATTTTATTAATTACAATTTATACGCAATTTATTAATTTTTGGAAACATTGAGATTCGAACCTGAGAATCCTAGAACAACAGACTTGTACCCAAACACTGAGCTAATGATACTTTGTACAATGGACTTATTTCCATTACATATTCTATGCTTCTGACAATGAGTTTTCTGTCTAAACAAATACTGTAGAAACTGATTGAAATAAGAATGTATATAAACAACAAATAAAATAATCTATATTTTTTACAAATACATCGAGGTGTTTAAATATTAAAAAAATATATATATATATTATTGTACAGTATATATTATACAGAGTATATATATATACGCATGCATGCTTTTTTATATTACACTGTTATTTATTTCAGTATATTGCCATAAAAAATTTCAACATTCTTTGAAAATTAAAAAAATTGCAGGAAAGATGTTTATAAATTTAAAAAATTAAA